TTGACTAGGGAAATTCTGAGAGTGGAGTTTCCAGATGCCAGCAGGGAGTGTAACTTCCAAGCAGGTCTAAGGGCAGCAGTACAGTGTAGAGCCACAGCCCTATAGGGTCCTGGGGTGTCCCCTATCACTGTGCTGAGGCACTGGATCTGAAAAGTAAAGAGGACACAGAAGGACTGGAAAAGACAGCTGGGCTCAGGGGGCCACGCCACTTACAAGTGGAGACAGGTGAGGCCCTGAACATCCAGAAGTGTCTGTATATATTGGGTATAGGTTGGGAGGAAGGGTAGTGAGTGAGGTCATCTTTAAGGACAGTGATAGGATCAAGACATTCACGTGAGCGATAAGCAAGGGGTCCACCCCCATTAGGTCACCTAGGCTAGGAGGTGGGCAGTGTGCAGCAAGGGGTCCACCCCCATTAGGTCACTGAGGCAAAGAGGTGGGCCGTGCACAGTGAAGAGGGTGCAGTGTGCAATATCTCCATCTAGGGGCAGGCTACTTCTAAGGAATTCTATAGCAGGATGCTTTGAGCAGCAACAGAGCTGACAAGTTTCACAGCCACCTGCTGGCAGCTTCCAATGATTTCTATAGGAGGATGATCTGAATTAGCACAGTAGCTAGAGAGCTGACAAGTTACAGTCACCAAGGCGCAATTATACCAGAGTGGTTTTAAGCCCTCGGATGCTCGCGGGATTGCTGGTCTGAGGGTGGCCTTTCACAAGAATTGGATGCAAGGTACTACGACTCCTTTTTCAGGAGGAGAGGCTCTTGCTCCAAGGCTGCCATACAGTGGGTATCTTTACAATACTGAACGCTGCCTCCTGGGCCAGATTCTCGTCCTGGTATAACTGTTTTTCCCTTAAATTATGCTCTGCACCATGTCTGCTCTAGACATTCCTCTGACTATAAGCAACATATGCTTATATATGTATAGCTGCTTTTATCCCGTTATTCATGCTCTGTACCGTGTCTGCTCTAGGCATTCCTCTGACTATGAACTAAGATATAATTATATATAGGTGTATATAAATGGAAATAACTGAGTAGTAAGGTATTCTTCAGGCACTAATTATTCTGACTATAAACTAATACATGATTATATATAAAGAATTATATAAATGAAATAACTGAGTAATAACGCTATAAACTAAGATATTCTTCAGGCACTAATTGTGCTGGGGATCTGCTTAGCTCTCCTTCCTCGGTGCTCAGATAGGTGATTACGCACAACACAGGACTGTTACATGAACTCTTCTGCATACTACTCAATGTTTCTAGTCCTTCTACAGGTCTGTGTCCTACAATCACAGGAATTCTGAAAAATGCCATTTCATAAAACCCCCATCCACATGTGCAAATCAATGTATCTTGTATTTACGATTACATACAGTGCGTGCTGGGTATATTCCTGACAAGAGAGCACTTTTGCTTTCCAATGAAAATGGAATCCTTCACTTACAATTTTACACATCTGATTGATGACTGGAAGATTTTTCCACAGACTACCTTCTGGTGCTGTACCTTGTGAATCTTGATTTTCCTCTACTGCCAACATACCCCTGATGCCAAGTGCTGCAAGTCACAGTGACATTACAATGTACCCTCCAGCCTCACCCCTCTTGTCCTAACATTGGATGCATCAGCACAGTAAGCAGAAGCATTCCTGAAAGCTATTCCAATACAGGGCAGCTGGCAATAACTGGGAAATACATGGAATTGCTTGTGGATCCCTAAAAGATATCTCAAAAATATATCCTAAACTAAATGAATCCCTTAGTTGAATTCCCAATACGACCATTGTCGTTGCATTGCTACCCAACACACAGGCAAGAGGGATGGAGACGGCATAGTGGAAAGAAAGCTTCCCTGAACCAACTGTGGTTAAAATATCTTCTGTAGATTTTCCAAACCATACAACTGTAAAATGCTAGGGCTCCCAGGGCTGTGCAATCAAGAGACACTGAAGCTTTATCTTAAACTTCATTCACTTCACTGTACTTGCATAGGGTCTAGAGACCTATAGAAGAGAAACCAAACACTGAGAAAAGACTTGGGGCCCAGATAATGAGACAGAAGGGAAGAGAGTACACAATCAGAAACAAGGACAAGGAAATTAAGACAAATTTCAGATAAACATAGTGCAAGATTTACCTGGGAATCTGTGACCTGCATGTGACCTAGCATGGGAGAAGCACCATGAAGAGTCACCTTCCTAAGCTGGGGCACAACCCAAGGACCAAAACAACAGAGCTGACTTTTCCATGGCTGACCCAGAAGGATGTACCAGGAGATTCTGTTGATATTAGGTGGAAGGGGGGACTAGTTCAGAAATGTCAGGCTTCTTGAACCACAGACAGAGAGAAGCTTTGCTGGGCAGGCATGGAATTAAACTGGGCAAACCAGGAACCAGAGACAGCTAAGAGACACAACCTCTTAAATTGGTCAGCACTGAATCCCCAAACAGTCACAGCATCAAATGTGTCTTGAGCTACAAAGGGCCTTCTAGAAACCATATTCCAACATTTCACCACCATCTTGTGTGTAGAGAGATCAAATCACCATAGGAAGGGTTAGAAAGACTGGTTGAGCCTTGCCTTGAACACTTACAGTACAAGCTGAGGCAAATCACATGCCCTCTCTGAATCTCAGCATCCTCATCTCTCGAGTGAAGAGAATGATAATGTGGTCCCAGGAGCCTGTGGAGAATTCAGTGTCACATTAGGATGAGAAAAGGGAGTTGGAGAGGCACTCTTGCTGACCCTGAACACAACACAAGAACCCAAGGGCCAGCAGCTGTAAGCTTCAAAGCCTTGCAGTAATGTTACCTTTGCTTTACTACAGAGGAGACACCAGCAGGGGAGCTGTGTTGAACTCTCTCTGAGCACACTGTAGGAGCACTCAGAGTATGTCGATTCTCACAGACTCTTCTCTGTCCCTACTGTACAAGCAGTTTCAAGCAGGGGTCTTGTTGGTATTTTAGAGGAAAACTGATGGTACTACTTTGGGTAGTGCCACTACTTTGATTAATTTGATAAGACTAACAGTCATTTTACAAAGACAAAATCTCTTCATAAGTAGTATGGCTGGGAAAGGAGGAATGAGGAGGGAGCAGGGGACATGAGGAAGCACTGCAATATCTAAATGAGAGGTAAGAAAACAAGGGCAGTTTTGCTGTGATTGCAGATGACACTTGCACTCCTATCATTTCTGCATCCACCTCTAGCCCAGATGACTTACTGGCCTCATGAGTGAATCAATGAATTCTTCTCTGTAAGAGAACCACGGTTTGCCTTTTTAAAATGCTGACAGTGCAACACAAAGTGAGGACACTCACCTGCTGCACCCAGCATGCAGCCCACATTCCTTCAGTGGGCCTTTAGGAGTTGGACCCAACCTAGTTTCCCAGCCTCTTCTCCCACGACTTCACTCTACAAATGGATCTGGTCCAGCCACAAACCTTCTCTGGGCTCCCTGAATGTACCTAACTCTTACAGGCTGTCACTCCCCCATTTTCCACCTAACAAAACCCTTTCGGCCTTCAAGACGCCACTCAAACACCCCCTCCTCTGAGAAGCCTCCCCCAGTCCCTTGCCCAGAGTGAGCAGTCCCTCCCTCTTCCCATTCACCTAATTCCTTCTGCCTGCCAGATGCCCCCTTATAAGTAACAAAGGCATGAGCGTGCACCTACCCTCAAGGAGCCTCTTCCAGGAGGGGGCCGGGCTCTGATCTGCTTTTTGACATGATACTTTGTGCCGAGATCTGCCCTCTCCTGCCAGGCTGTGCTCACACCAATACCAACAGGTCACAAGGCGCCCTGCCAGCAAAGCTTCGTGCCCCTGAGAGTTGTCTAATGCACACGCAAGCTCAAAGCAGCTCTCGGGTGGCCTGTTGCAGGGCACAGCACAGTTCTGGCTGTGCAAAGACAGATGCTGGGCCCTTCCCTGTGCTGCTCAGCATATACCCGCTCTCCAGAGCGCCTTTCCTTGGCATTAATTCATCCAGTCAGTTAAGATGGATTGCACGGCCTGCTGTGTGCCAGGTACCATGTGGACCCCACCACCCATGCCCAATGCAGGTCCCTCTAATGGGCAACCCTTGCTCCACACCTCCCTCTTGGGCTGCTCGAGACTGTCAGGTCTGGCCCAACCTGCTCTCCAGCCCTGCTTCCTTCCTGTCCCTTTCCTGAGTGCAAGTTAGCCCTGGTAAACCTCTGGCCCTGCCAACTCCCTCTCACGGTCTGCTTCCTAAAGGACCCAATCTGAGACAGTGGGTTCCAGAGTGGTCCAAGACAGCAAGTTGTAAGATGGAGTCTTGGTACAGGATCACCCTGCAACTGCCCAGCAGGCAACGAGGTTCCCATCTTTGGGCATAGGTGGCATGCAGGTGGCTCCAGGCACAAAATGGCAGCCTAGTTGCCAGATCTTTGGTGTTAGAACTTTTGATTCTAACATCAAAAGTTAGACGGGTAGCTTGTGAAGAGGAAGTTCCTGGCAGGTGAGGAGACCCAGGCAGGGCGGACGTCTGGAAATGGAAACTCAGGGAGTGGATGGTGGTGACTACGTTGCCTGGATGACCCACACGGGGTTAATGAGAGGCCAAGGGCAATTAACAAACGTCTAAAAATTAAGCAGAAGCACTGGAGTCGTCCTGGTGGCTTACAAAGTAGCCCCCGATCCAGGCAATGGGCGAGCAGCAAAATCTGAAGAACAAACCCAGGACTTGCTAAGGTGGCTGAACTCCAAAGACAGCTGAACGCTCAACCAAGGCAGGTCTATCATGCCAACGACACAGGCCCTGTTGGGGAAAGCTGCGTCCCTGATACATGGAACAGGGACATCTAGGAGAAGGTCTCTGAATATCTAATCTCCCCAGATGCCCTTGAAACTTCTGAGTCTGCAGCATCAGCCCAGCAAGAGCCAGTGCAGGCACCCTACCCCGAAGGAGAAATAAATCCCACAAGAACGTTCCCCACAGGTGTCCTCCCTCCCAGGGGTGGCCCTCACCTTATCACTGGCTGCCAGGTAGGTGACCGACAGTCCCAGTTTGCTGAGGAACTTGCAGTGCTAACACCCAGAGAGTCCCGTGGAAGCTGGAGGAATCGGTGAGCCGACGGCCAGACCCGTGACCAGAGGGAAGCTGCAGCACAGAGCTGCACGGGCAGGATGTGCCGGTCCTGGTAAGGGGCAAAGGGATGACATCCCTGAGGAGCTGCAGGATCAGCACACACCTGCAGCGGCCGGGGGTGTCCCTGCGGGACGGGACCCAGATGCAGCTCAACCTGTGGGGGCTGGAAACGAAGACTAGGTCAGGGACTTGGAGACACTCTGCTGCTAAACACAACCCAATGCCCCGGCAGGGAGCCGAAGGGATGGGGCAAACCTGTGGATGGCATGGGATGGGCAACAGCGATGGTCCATGCCTGAGTGACGGTGAAAGGCCCGGACTGTCAGTGCAGATGGTGAAGGAAGGGGTTCAACGGCTGAGCAACGTGAGCTTCCTGGATCTGGACAGAAGAGGTGAGGCCAGAAGACACCCCGGAGGATCATGTTTCAGGAGAGGGCCCTGAGGACACATGCTTCAGCAAGGGCATCGGGAATGTGCTGGAGAGAGGGTGCCAGCCTCCCTCTGAGGTTCAGCGTGGGGATCCCCTGCAGGCCAGGGCGGACCACAGGAGAGTGTCTCGCAGAACGGGGTGCACCAAGAACTGGAGGCTGATAAGGCTGCTATAGTCTCCTCCTCTTCCTCCTCCTCACCTCCTCTCCTCCCGTCTTCCTCCCCTCCTAATTCTCTCTTCCTCCTGTCCACCTCCTGTCCTCCTTTCTTCCTCCTCCTCCTCCCCACCTCGGGCTCTCCTTCTCCTCCCCTCCTCCTCATCCTCTCCGCTTCTCTCTTCTCCCTCCTACTTCTCTCCTTCTCATTTCCTTCTCTCTTCCTTTCCTCCTTCTCCTCTTCCTCTCTCTTCTACCTCCTCCAACTCTGTTCCCCTCCTCTCTTCTCCACTCCTCCCCCACCTCCTCCTCTCCTCCTCCTTTTCCGCTGCCCCTCTTATCCACTCCTCCTCTCCTCTCCTTTGCTTCTCATTCTCCTCTCTTCATCCTCTCCTCCTTTTCCTCCTCTCCTGGTCCTCCTTTCTGCTAGCTACCTCCTCCTCTTCTCTTTCTCCTCTTCTCTGCCTCCTTTTTTCCTCCTCCATCTCTCTTCCTCTTCCTCCCCTCCTCCGCTCCTCTTCCTCCTACACCTCTCCTCCTTTCCTCCCTCATCCTGGTATTCCCCTCCTTCTTCCTTCCTCCCCATCCTCCCACCTCCACCTCCTTCTCCCCTCCTCCTTCTGTTCTTCTCTCTTCCTCCTCCCCATCCCTCTTCTCTCATTTTCTTCTCCTCCTCATCTCCTCCTCTCCCCCGCCTCCTCTCCTCCATATCTGCCTCTCCTTCACCTTCTTTCCTTCTCCTCTCCTCCTTCTCCCCCCTCCTCCTCACTTCCTCTTCTAGTCCTCTTCCTCTTCTTCCTCCTTCACTGCTCCTCCTCCTCTTTTCCACCTCCTCCTCTCCTCTTCTCTTTTCTGCGTGCTCCTCTCCTCCTTCACCTCTTCTCCTCGGTCTCATCTCCTCTTCTCCTTCTCCTCCTCCTTCCCTCCTCTAACCGGCTCCCTCTCTTCCCCCTCCTCCTCCTCCTCTTTTCTACCCTCCAGCTCCTATTCCTCCACTTTACCTCTCTCCTCCTGCTATACACCATGTTCGTGCGACCCTGTGTGAGTCCACGGGAGAAAAGGAAAGCTAAAAGGTGGACAGATGGGTGCAAGAAGGCAAAGAAGGGAGCCCTCTCCGATCTAATGGGCGGGGTGCTGGATACATGTGAGTGCCTCCCCCTTAGGGGAGGGGTCACAGCCTCCAGATGGAGGGGCCACGGGACACTCCATGACCTCTGGCGTTACTTACAATTTGGAGGGCTTAGGTGAATACTGAGTCCAAAATAGCCCTGCAAAGAGACAGAGGAACAAGCCTCTGAGCCGACCAGGTCTCTGAAATACAAAAACCAACATGAGGCGAGAGGCAGAATGTGGGTAACACCCCTCACTGGCACCGAGGAAGGAGAACTGTTCAGACCCCGGGCACAACTAGTGCCTGAAGAATATCTTAGTTTATAGTGCTATTGCTCAGCTGTTTCCTTTATATAATCCTTTATATATAATCACATATTAGTTTATAGAATTAGTGCTTGAAGTATAACTTACTGCTTACATATATCTAGTTTATATAATCACACTTAATACTTATTTCTGGCATACTCAGTTCTATATAATCTTTCTATATAATCATATAGGTATTGTAGTCAGAGCTGTACTGACACATTTAGTGCTGATGTATATAATCCTTCTATGTAACCATGTAGTAGTTTGTAGTAGGAAGAATGCCTAGAGCAGTCACAGAACAGAAGCAGTACATGGGAAAACAGCCAGACCAGGACAAGAACCAAAGGCCCAGGCGGTGGCGTCCCTGCCTGAAAGGGCATATACTGTATGGCAGGCTTGGAGCAAGAGCCTCTCCTCCTGAAAAAGGAGCTGTAGTACCTTGCATCCAGTTCCTGTGGAAAGTAGGCCTCAGGCCTGAGATCCTGGAAGTAACCGAGGGAGAAGTACCCCTCTGGTGTGACCAGTCACGGCAGCTGTACACCCGGTCAGTCTTTTCTCACTTCTGCGCTAGCTCAAATCATCCTCCCATAAATATCTTAAGTGAAGAGCACAAGTCTGTCAGTTCCCACTGCATTAAGCTTACATCATCCTTCTATTAGAAATCCTTTGAAGTCTCCAGCCCCCAGATAAGAAGTGTTGTGCATGACACCTGCTGCACACAGCCCACCTCCTTGCCTCGGTGACCTAATGGGGGTGGACCCCTTTTCTGCACATGACCCTCTACTACTGTGCAGGGCACGGCCCCCTGCTGTGCACAGCCCACCTCTCTGCCCAGGTGACATAATGGGGTGGCCCCCTCACTTGTGACTCACGTGATTAGGCATGCCCTATTACTAAGCCTACAGATGGTGACCTCACACACGACCCTGCCCCCTGCTTGTACTTAATAAATACAGATGCTCTTGGGCATTTGGGGGCCGTCACTGATCTCTGCTCACAAGTGGCATGGCCCCCCGAGTCCAGATGCTCTTCACCAGTTCTTCAGTGTCCTGTCTCTTTACTTCTCTGATCCTGCACCTCAACACAGCATAAGGGACACCCCACGACCCTGTGGGGCCTCCACAACCCTACAGCAGCATTCAGAAAGAGCTCCTACAGCTCCATACCAACAAGGCAAATCACTCAATTAAAAAGTGGGTAAAAGCCATTTCCTAGATGAGGAAAGCAGGCTGACCAAGAAGCATCTGAAGGGAAGCTGGGAATTATGGTCAAAGCGGTCCCAGGCTGGCCGTGCCCCGTAACCCTAGGCAGGATCACACACGAACCCTCTTGGGAGGAGGGTGACTTCCTCCTGGGCCTCAGAGTCAAAGCAGCACAGTGAGGAGAGGGTGGCTGCCCTCTGGAAAGTGTCAGCAGGGAGGCAAGGGAAGAGGAACGGGGTGACAGGCTCAGAAAATGGGAAGAGTCGCATAGAAATCATGCTGAGACAAAAATAATGCTTCCCTAGGGAAGCACGTGGATGGAAGAGACAGACTGAACAGCCAGGGATGCTGAGCACAGAGAGGGAAGGGGACAGCACATTCCCAAGGGACAGCCGTAGTCAGGGAAGCTAGCCTGCCACCACGGTGGAGAGGAGAGGCGGGGCGGGGTGAGGCGAGGAGAGGAATAAGAAAGGCAGAGGCAAGGCTCAGAAGGCCAGCGAGATGGACAGGGAGCTCTGCAGGGGGCTCCCAGGGATGAGAGGGAAGGAAGACTCTGAGAGGGGGCTGTGGTTTCAGGAAGGAGGCAGTAGCCTGGGGTGGGGGGCTGGCATGGGGTGCCGTCAGCTGCAAAGCAAGATCTTTGGAAAACACAAGGACTTCCTAAAAGAGACACGACGTGGCACGATGGGGACGCAAGCAAGGCCTGAAGAAAGCAGACCTTGAGGAGGAGAAACACTCCTGGCCCCAGGAGATGGGGTCAGCTGAGTGTGTGCTAGTGGGTGCAGCCAGGCACAGCGGTTTCATGGGAGCACAGCAAGGAACCCGAGAAGGCCCCGCATGCCCACAGTTGCCTGCCTGGGGCTCCAGAGCACCCACCGAGGGCCCCACAAGGGAAGGCAGGAGCAGGATGGGTCTGGGGAGGTGAAGGCTGGCCTGACCTGCTGACAGACGAACAGAGAGGGAGGGGAAAGTCTTGTTCCTGCCAGGACATCGTAAATGGGAGGAGTGAGGTCAGAAATCAGAGCGTTTTCGGGTTTGGTGCTGACTTGCTACTGGGAATGAAAATCAAGACTCAGGTGCCATCTGGTCCCTTTCTCAGGGGTAGCCGATCACCACCCTCATCCCTACCTGACCTGGCGATGCCATTCTTCCTAGGCCCACTCACCGCTGCAGCTGCTTTTCTTTGACTTCTCCTCATCTGACCACAGATCAGACCTCTGCTGTTTGCTGCCGCCCAGGGAGAATGTGCACTAATGTGCGCACTAACCCCACTGCCCAGCACACCCAGGAGAGTGGGGCAGCTGGGAGAGTTTGAAAATGGAGCCCTTATGTAGCCACCACGGGCTTCCCCGCTAGCAGTCACATGTGAGTACCCAGCTCATTAGGTGAGTTCTAGCTCTTCAAACAAGAGGCCACGGGAGGAAGAGCAGCAACCCACCATCCCGGGGATCCTCACTCACAGTGTGAAACCACTCCCAGCAGGTTCCGGAGTGTCTGGCAGAAGCCGGCAACCATTCTTGGGGGAAGGAGCCCAGGAGGGGATGCTAGCATGTATGGGAATTGGAACTGATGATCTGAAGGTCCCTTGCTGGCCTGAGGCTTATAACCCATCAAGAGGGGCCCTCTCCTCCTCACCTCATCTCCAGCATTCCTGCTTCCTCAAGTTTCTCCAAGGAGAAGTAGGTGCATCTCACTAGAAAAGACGAGAAAGCAGCCCTTTGCTGATTCAACACTTACTAAGCAGATACTGTGTCCTGGGTATCCAGTTTCAGAAATGAGTAAAACACCGTCCTTGGCGGAGGTTGCGGTGAGCCGAGATCGTGCCATTGCACTCCAGCCTGGGTAACAAGAGCGAAACTCTGTCCCCCCCCCCAAAAAAAAAACAAAAAACAAACAACAACAACAACAAAAAAAACACCGTCCTTGCCTTCAAGGAACTCAGAGAGCATGCGGCAGCCACAGACTCTTACAGCGCAATTACCACCCTGGGTTCCAAGAGCCTAATGTGGGGTGGGGAGAGGGGAGGTTAAAAATGCTATTAGAACTGGAGACAAAAGTCCCTAACACTGCGGTGGGACCGTGAAGGTGACATTAAAGTTGTGCCTTGAAGGAGGCCAGGAGTGCACCAGTACAAGGCCATGGGAACCACCGCTGCAAAGCAGGGAGACCTGGGGCAGCAGGCTGATGGCGACCTGTGACTAAACTGCACAGCGTGAACCCAGGGACTGTTTGGCTTAAGGGTGGAGAGAGCTGGGCAGACTCCCTGAGCTGTTAGGACTTCAACCTGAGAAGGCCTGGCAGGGTTTTCAGTAGAGGGTTGCTAGGGACAGATTTGTGACTTAGAAACTAAACTGAAAGAGTGTGGAGGACAGACCCAAGGGAGGAAAGACAGAAGCCTCCAGGTTGGTCAGGAGGCTCATGGAATGGTGCAGGCTCCAGACCACGAGGCCTGAACTCAGGAAGTAGCAGCGGGGATGCAGGAAGAGGAGCAGTTTGGTCTCATCAGGCACTTCAGAGGCACGCACCTGGAACTTGGTTATGAAGTCAATGCGGGGGACTGGGTAAGCGGAGGGACAGAGGAGCACAGCATGGCGGTGCTGCGGAACCTGAGCCCTGACTGACATGGAGAAGAGAGTTTGAAAAGCAAGTTCGCCAGGGAAGTTGGGCTGTGTGTTGGGCGACTTAGGTCGGAGGGGCGGCAGGACATTAAGAGTGGGGATGTTTCTCAACACGTGCAAAAGAGGCGTTAAAAAGACAGTCCCTCCAGACCCCATTTTGGCAGGCACTGACAGAGCCACTAGGACACAGGGAAGCAGGCCTGGGGGGCTCAGCCCTGCAAGACTCAGGCTACAGCTGCGGGGACCCCAGACAAGTGTTCCCGCCCTTCTTGCTGCTTCCATGCCCTATGGGGGTAGACTCTGAGGGTGCAGTTAGGTCGCCGGGGCGAGTTTAGACTCTTGCCTAAGGGTGCAGCACAGAAGTGCCTCAGCTCCCTCCTCCAGCTCCATCCTGCTCCTCAAGCTGCACAGCCTGCCTTCTCCCACAGCTCTGCCCACAGCTTCACCCCAGTTCTGCTCCGCTCCACCAGCATCTCCACCATCAGCTCTTCCTCCCGCAACTCCGCCCAAGCTGCTTCTCCCGCAGCTCCACCCTAGCTGTTCCGACTCCTAGCTCCTTCTCCCGCAGCTTCGCCCCCAACTCCTCCTCCTCCTCCCAGCACTAACCAGTTCTGCCCACAGCTACGTCCTCCTCTTGCAGGTGGCTCCTCCAGAATCTCTGACACAGTTCCCGCTGCAGCTCCACCCTCAGCTTCTTTCTCCAGGCTTTTTCCCACAGCCCCATCCTACTCCCCATGCATGTCCACTCCCAGCTCCAACTCCTCTGGCCCCTTCCTGCTTCTCCTACCCGTCTGCCCCACCCCAGCATCTTTCAGCTTTCCTCCAGCTCTGCACTAGCTCCTCCCCAACCGTGCTCACACACCAGCCTTGCTCTAGCTTGGCTCCTCCTTCCCCAGCTCATTCCCGCAGCCCCGCCCCACCTCCCACAGCGCTTTGCACAGCCCCGCCCTGCTCCTCCTCCGGAACCTCCAGGCTTTCCCTCAGCTCCACCGGGCAGCTGAGCTATGCACCAGGCCCTCCTACAGCGCTTTCTCATGACACGAGCCTGCACCTCCCCAGCCCTCGCTCCCCCAAGCTGGTTCTCAGGAATCCGCGGGGTGCTCCCGCAGCTGCTTCTCGCTCAGCTCTTCCACTGCCTCGCCGTGCTTCTCCCGCCAGATTCCGAAGCCCCGCCCCCAGCACCTCCCCAGTGGTCTCTCTCGGCTCCGCCCCGTCCCGAGGCCCGCCCTGTTCCTCTCAGGGCTGCTTCAAAAGCCCCGTTCCAGCCCCGCCCCAGAGACGTCCCTCCCCCCAGCCCCGCCCTACTCCTCCTGCGGTCGCTTCCAAGACCCCGCCCCCAGCCCCTCCCCAGCGGTTTCTCGCAGGCCCGCCCCTCCTCTCACCTAGCCCCACCCTGCTCCTCCCGCGGCTACTTCCAGAGCCCCGCCCCCATGCCCTCCCCAGCGGTTTCTCAGCACCGCCCTGATTCCCGCCTCTCCCCCAGCCCCACCCTGCTTCTCCTGTGGGTTTCCAAAGCCCCGCCCTCAGCCCCCTACGCAGCGGTTTCTCTCAGCCCCTCCCCTCCCGAAGCACCGCCCTGCCTCTGCGGCTGCGTCCCCGCCCCACCCCCAGCTCCGCCCTGCTTCTCCGGTGGCTCCTTCCAAGGCTCCGCCCCCAGTCCCCTCCCCAGCAGTTTCTCAGCCCCGTCCCTCCCCGAGCCACGCCCCCACCCAAGCCCCGCCTTGCTTCTCCTGTGGGTGCTGCGAAAACCCCACCCCCAACCCCAACCCCACCCCAGCGGTTTCTTTCAGCCCCACCCTCCTCCTCTCAGCGGCCCCCTCCTTCCCCGCGCTGGTTCTCAGGAGTGCGCGAGCACCTCCTGCAGCCTCGCTCAGATCTCCCACGGCCCCACCTCCAATAGTTTCGCCCAGCCCCCTAACCACGTCTAATTCCCGCCCCACTCAACCCCGCCGCAGCGATTATCTCAGTCCCGCCCTTCCCCTCCCCAGCTCCGCCCTCCTCTTCTCAGCCTCGATCCCCGACCCTCCCCAGTGGTTTCTCCCAGATCCTCCCTGCTGGTCTCGCAGCTCTGACTTTGAAACTCCTGCCTGGTGGCCTTGTCCCGCCCCTCTTCGTTTTCCTCCCTCCGGTTCCTTTTCCTCCTTCCGGTTGTTTGTCCAGGCTGCCGGTCGCGTCAGGACCCGTAAACTGAACAGCGTCTCCTGGCGGCCAGTGCGTGCGTAAGTGCGTGATGACGTCAGTGCGTGGCTTCATGAAGAGTGGATTTCTAGACTTGGCTGTCTATATGCAAGGCTGAGTACGTGCCTCCTGCGTACGTGCGTGGTGCACGTACGTGCGTGGTTACGCGCCCCCGTACGTTCTTCGTGAACTGGATGACGGGAGCTGCATGAAAGCGGAAAAGTTACGGACTGTTAGCACTTGCTAGTAACCCCCGGTTTCCCGGAGTCAGTGGCAGCGAGCGACCTTGCAGCCCCGACAGGAGCCGGGAGCTCTTTGTTCTCACCGCGGCCCAAGTCTCCTCGCTTTCGAGCCCATCATCCTGGCTCCGGTGGCCTCGCTGGGTCGCGGGGACGCGGAGGACTGTTCTTCTGTTGCCAAAAGCCAGAGTCGGCCCTGGACGCGACGACTGTCAGGGTCCGGAGGCCGTAACACCGGCCGCGGCTGAAAGGTACGGGAACCTGTTTGCTCGGCCGTCTTGCGGACAGCACCCGAGGGCTGGGGTTTCCCTGGATATGAGTTTGGGAGCCAGTGTGGGGCGCGCCCAAGGCACCCTTTCCTGTCCCGTGCTCTCGCCAGGGTCTCAGCCCCGCTCCTTCTAAGCGCGTCTTCTCGCGGCATGCGTCTGCGAGTAGAAATCCCGTGTTCTGGCCGGGCGCGGTGGCTCACGCCTGTAATCCCAACACTTTGGGAGGCCGAGGCGGGCGGATGGTCAGGAGTTCTAGACCAGCCTGACCAACATGGAGAAACCCCAGTCTCTACTAAAAATACAACAGTTTTAGCCGGGCGTAGTGGCGCGTGCCTGTAATTCCAGCTACTCCAGAAGCTGAGGCAGGAGAATCGCTTGAACCGGGAGGCGGAGATTTCGGTGAGCAGAGATCGCACCATTGCACTCCAGCCTGGACGACAAGAGCGAAACTCTGTGTCAAAAAAGTAAAGCCCTGTGCTGCTCCACACACACCGACCCCATCTCGGCCCGGTCTTCCCTGCCTCCAGCTTGGACCCTCTGCTGTGAGCTCGCCTGGACCTGAGGCCAGGCAGTGCACAGCTCTGTGGCCTGTGGCATCGTGCTCAGCGTGACCTACCCAGAATTAAGCTGAGGGGAATGGGATGTAGGCCCCCCCAAACACTTGCCCAGTGACAATGGGAGGGGAAGTGGCATTTTTCTCCCCTCGGATGGAGCGTGCTCAGTTGCAGGAATGCGACTCAACTTCCAGAAATGATGTTCTGCCCTGCGGGCCGGTGCACCCTGTGGTCCTTGACCCAGACAGGTGCCGAGGGTCCCATTGCTGTGATTAGCAGAACCAAACTGAGTGAGGTGCACAAGTGTGTTACTCGTAAGACCGGCCCTCCCAGCTCTTCTTGGTTTCCAATGCCTGCTAAGTAGATGACCTTCCTAGGGCCATTAACCAGCCTTGCTGTTTTGCACTTAATGACCTTTCCTCCTTGTCTTCCTTGTTGTGCAGGCAAAGAAGCTACGTGGAAGAGTGTTTCCTCCTCAGGCCGCAAAGCAGGTACTCTCTGCAGCACCAGGTAGGAGGGGACTCAACCCTCTTCCTGCCTTTCCAGTTACATGAGTTCTTACTAGGGATTCCACACACATCCAGTTCACATTTGTTGTGATTTTGTGGTGACGATGAGAAAAGGGTTGGCTAAGAAACTGAGGGGTGGAAAAGAGGCAAACGTTCACGGTAGCCACATATCCCGATGGCTGTGGCCAGGCCCTGTGGGGGACGTTCAGCCTCCGTCAGAAGTAATCCAGAACCCAGGAACCTGGTAATATTTTGTCACCCATCAGCAGAATAATGATGCTCAGAGCCATGTGTGTGTGAGGAAATGGCACCACGGATGGGTTGGTGGAGTGTACACAGGTGAGTTTTTGTGGAAGGCCATTTGCTGGCAGATATCAGCATCTTAGATGGGCGTGCCGGGCGGCCGAGGCATTCTCTTCAGCAGGTCTTCACACGGCGAGCGTTAGTGGAAATGTCATTTCTAGTGGCAAAAGTGGGAAGCAGCTTGTAACTCTCCATCGGTGGAGGAATGGTCCGGCAAATTGTGGGACGACCAACAATGGGATATCACACAGGCAGTGAAAAACAAGGTAGATGAAGATGGGCAGATGGAGAGAATGGGCTTGATGTGCTGTTAAATGGAAGAGTCATGCCCTATCCTGTGGAGATGTGTTGGGAACAGCAGTTTGCCAAGATGGCTGAAGCAAAGGACCATAAAGGGGCTGGCTTAAACTACAGACATACGTTGTCTCACAGTTCTGGAGGATGGAAGTCTTAAATCCAGGTGTTGACCGGGTTCGTTTGTTCTGTGGGCTGTGAAAGACAATCTGGTCTGTCCCCCTCTCTTAGCTTCGGTTGGCCGGGTGGCACTCCTTGGCTTGTAGAAGCATCTCCTTTATCTCTGCCTTTGTTTTCTCATGGTGTTCTCCCTGTGTGCCTCACTGTCTCTAACATCCCCCTTTTCATAAGGACGCCAGCCACGTTGCATGTGGGTCAGCCCTAATGACTTCAGTTCTGCTTGATCACCTCAGTAATGACTCTGTCCTTATGCATAAGGCCATATTCTGAGGTGCTGAGGTTTAGGACATACCCATTTTAAGAGAACACAATGCAACCCATCACAACAGACAAAAGCCCTGAGGTAGAACCAAGCTTGGCATGTTCCCTCAGTGGATGGAAGGCCTGTGTGGCTGCAGGGTGGTGAATAAAGGGGAGAGGAGAGGACATGGCTGGGGCGGGAAGCCTCTGAGACATCTTGAGAGGCTATGACTGGGCTGATGTTCTGGCTTCAAGCCCATGGCTCCTTCTGAAGCACAGGGCTGTACTCCATGCAGGAGGAGGGGACCCTCTCCCAAGGTACACACGCAGGAGGCAGGGACCCAGGCAAGAGGCGTGAGAAGTCAGAGCGCGTGTGACGGTGGGCTGGCGCCTCATTCTCCTCAGCCATAGACTGGGCCTCACAGTAGCACTGACTCTGCTGGGTTACTTGGGGATTCCATTTGATGATCTGAGGATCATGCCATCGCAGAGGCTGGCATGTGGAAGGCATGTGTTTCGGAGGGGCGGCAGTTGTTCTGAATTTCATTCTTTTTTTCAGCTCAGATCGGGGGCAGGGGTGTCTGCTGACATGGAGCGCAGTGGTTGGGGAAAGGGCTTGAGGAAGGTGGCACCCAGATGGGTGGGGAAGAGATGTCTGACTGAGGACCGTCTGAGGTCATGGTGCATCCTGAGAGCAGAGCTGAGATTGGATATCAACGATGTGGGCTCAGCAGCCCTGCAATAGAAGCCGGGAAGGTCAGTGCCTTGGTGCCAGCAAGGCCAGGGCACTGAGAGTACTGGCGTGGCACAGCAGAGGGAACAGAAGAGAAGCAGAGCCTCGGACTGCCCCTCTGTGCTGGAAAGAGGACTGACACCAGCACCACCTCTCCACTCTGTCTAGGCCGAGGGGGCCCTCTGTTCTCTGTGTTCCCTAGGGCTTGGTGACCTCTGTCATAGCACTGACCACACGCTATCTGGCCTGTGCCTTCCTCTAGCTGCCCCCGCCCTACTCCAGACCTCCGCAAAGACTCGATGAAACGGACCTGAGTCAGCCGAGTCCCAACCCCTTTTCTTGGGCCTGCCGTGGCGCTGGACATCAGTGACTGCGTAGTGACACGCGGAAGCAGTGGACCATCAAGGTCAGTGATATTTAAGGGACCTGGGAGACACGGGGGAAAGGTCAGGACCACTGCCAGTGAGCTTGGAGGGCTGGCATGTGATGTGTTTCTGTGCTTCGGCAGGCCACACACAGGAGGCCCCCGGAGCTTTCGAAGATGAAGTTTGGCTGCCTCTCCTTCCGGCAGCCTTATGCTGGCTTTGTCTTGAATGGAGTCAAGACTGTGGAGACACGCTGGCGTCCCCTGCTGAGCAGCTACAGGAACTGTACCATCGCCATCCACGTTGCTCACAGGGACTGGGAAGGTGATGCCTGGCGGGAGCTGCTGGTGGAGAGGCTCGGGATGACGCCTGCTCAGATTCAGGCATTGCTCCGCGAAGGGGAAAAGTTTGGTCGAGGAGTGATAGCGGGTAAGTGACGATGTGCCAAATGCTCAGGCAAGTCCTGGAGCTGCCACCCAAGATCTTGCTGGGGAGTGTGGGGCCATCTGTTGTCGTCCGAACTGATTGGCGTGTACACGACAGTTTCCTTTGATGACAAACCTCCAGATGGGCGGCGAGGGCCCTGGGCTGGGGGTTGGCAGGCCTAGCTTCCGCATGCTCTGATAAATTGTTTCTTCACTCTGGGCCCCAGTTCCTGTTTCTGATCTCAGTGAGAAGCCGAGTCAGGTCCCTGTGCACATGGTGCATGTGGGTGTGTGTGTGTGTCTGTGTGTGTGTCTGTGTGTGTGTGTCTGTGTGTGTGTACGTACGTACGTACATGTGTATGTGCGCGGGTTGCACATGTCTGCCAGAGACCAAGAGAAGCAGCCCAGCCTGCCGAATGGGTCAGGTGGCCTCTAGAGTTAGGCTGTCTGCCTGGCTTCACGAGCCTGCCCCAGCCCCACCACTCACGGCACCCTGGGCGAGTCCCCTAACCTCTGAGTGATTGAGTTCTGACATCAGCACCTGTCCCCTGGTGACCTGCGTAGGCATCACCTGTAGGCTCCCAGGTGGTGGCTGGTGCCCTTCCAATCTGCAACCGCTGCCCTCAGCAGCCTGGCTTGGACATGCCACTTACTTGTGTGGCTTCACTGAGGACAAGACCCTCTCCTCTGTCTTTCTGGAGCCCTCCCCACTGCCTTTCCCAGCATTCGCTGAATTGAGTTTGTTTTGTTATCAAAGCTGTGGAAGAAAGACTTGACCCCCTTCTTGTCATTTTGCTGATACCGTCTTACTTTCTATTGATTGTGACTTTGAGTAACTGTGTTGTCACACAGGCAGGCCTTGGGCTATGGAAGTGAAAAGCATTCATGTGTATCTCTCTTTGTGTACAGGACTCGTTGACATTGGGGAAACTTTGCAGTGCCCCGAGGACCTAACTCCTGATGAGGTTGTGGAACTAGAAAATCAAGCTGTACTGACCAGCCTGAAGCAGAAGTACCTGACTGTGATTTCAAACCCCAGGTGGTTACTGGAGCCCATGCCTAGGAAAGGAGACAAGGAGGTATTCCAGGTAGACATCCCAGAGCACCTGATCCCTTTGGGGCATGAGGTGTGACAAGTGTGGGCTCCTGAGAGGAATGTTGCAGGGAAACCAGCTAAATCATTATTTCAATTCACCATCAGTTGAAACCAGCTAAATCGTTTAGCTGCTTTCAATTTACCATCATGATGCAGACCTACATACATTAGGTTAAATCTGAATTTCCCCTGCTTTGGAGAGTCCCAGCCACTAAGCACTGTGCGTGGAAATAGGTTTCTTTGCTCAGACGAAGGAAGTAGGGGGTGGGGCTTTCCTTGTGTGATGCCTCTTTGGGCACACAGGCAGTGTCTCAAGTACTTTGTCCTTTGGGCAGAAGGAAAAGCTGCCAGTAAATGTCTCGGCATGGCTACAATTTTGGTCCTGCTAATTTCTGGATTATACAAATAAATGTGTTGTAGATGACCGGTTATGAGGCTCCATTCTGTGTTTTCCCCTGTCTTTGTTCTGGTCAAAACTCATCAAATCTGGCATCCAAGCGACATTACAGAAAGTCGGACCTGGCACTGAATGTTTGCCTGGTAGTGAGCAGCCATTAATGGACTGACTCATCCAGGATGGAGAGGACGTCAGACAAGAGCAGCTGTCTGTCCTTTCAGGTTACTCTCACTCTCTTAAGAAAGTGTCTGTCAGTTCCTGAAGCACGTGTGTCATCTGCATCACACAGCTACTTCATATCCTAGCGGTGGCCCTTCTCTTCTGAGCCAGGATGTTACAGTGGTCATAAATCCCTTGGCCAAATGGGGTGGCCTGACTCAGGGGTCCCCGGTAGGCTCGGCTAGGGATGCTGACCTGCTGATCAGATACTTCCTGGCAACATTGGGAGGGACCCATGGGGAACAATCTCCTGTTTAGAGATACTGCCAGGATCAGGAGTGAGGCTATTCTTTCTCCTGACCAGCAGGCAAATCTCAGGGGACCAGGTCTTCCTGGGCTTGGCCTCGACGCTTCCTAGCAACATCCTTTGCTGGGTGTGTGAAAATGCTGCTTCTCCAAATGAATGAGGACAGTGGGGACCAATGCCTGTCTTGGACAGGATTTTCAGCCTCTTCTGGCTTGTGCCAATGAGATGTGTATAGTTGTAGAAGGTTAGAAAGGACACAGACAACAGTTCTCATTTGAATTTTTTATTTCCATGGAATTTTGTTTTTCTTTATTAAGACCAAGAGGCCTTCATGAGAATGACAATGATAAATGCCTTAATGATAAGAATATAGACCAAAAGGGAGGCCAACAGAATGGAGTACCACTCATTGTCCAAAGACATTATACTACTATTATCTGGGTAAACCAGGCTACTAGGCACTTCCCTTGTGCTTTCCACCCAGGCAGTAGCCAAAGATCCAAATGTGACATTTCCAGAGGTGCCCTCCCAATTTGAGTTATTTGGTTCCTGAGGGGGCCCATATCCCGGGGGATGCCCAGTGACAGTGTTCCTGTGCTGCATACTGCAGTGTGTGAAGGACTGGGTGCCACTGGGTCCCTGAACATTGTGGGTTCCACCCTGGGACATTTCGATGGCCGCATTCCTGGCATCGCTGTGATGGACCAGCTTCGCCCTCTTTGGAGCTGGGACATGGGTCACTTGCTGAGTGGTGTTTCGGAGGTCACCTTTTCTCCGGATATTCTCCAGGAGCCAGAGCTTGCCTCTCTGAAAATTGGAGCTGTGGTAGATCTAAAACAAAATGAACCATGTTAGTTGTTCTGGGATCAATTATTCCTTTTCTACTTCCCAAAATTATGATCTCGTTTTGCAATGGAGGAAAGAATGCTTTAAGTGGCAGCAAGTGTGGTATGCCCTACAGCATGACCTGACTAGAGATAAACAATTCATAGGTCAAGGTGGTGCTATATATATAGTATGAATTTTGATATTAAACTGCAACCCCCTTAGAGGTAATATGCAGGTCTGGATAATGTGTTCCTTTATATTATCTATAAGGGAATTGTAGTTTAATGTCAAAATTCATACTTTTAAAATTGTATAGTTTGCATCTTTCAATAAACAAATACCTCACATATAAAAAAGTTATCTTTGACACTTAACTCTTTTACAGTATATTACTTGTTTTGGTGTTCTGTGAAGATGTTTGAGAAACAAAGGAAAGGGATTACAGAAATGCTTTCTACTTTACCATCATATTCTTGTCTCCTGGAGAGGTGATTGGGCATATTTTGCAGAATCCATAGGGGTTCAGTTGGCGAATGAAACTCTTCCAGCTATCTGTTTCGAAGATCTTCTCTGCGCCGCTCCGTTGAAGAGTCTGCCTCTGGAAGAGATCTTTCTCGATGATCACAGCGTCTCCATCATCGTTCCAGCGCACAGACCGGAATATGTCTTTCTCCACCATCATCCACATCTTTCTTGGGAAGGAAAACCCAGGAAGTTTATGGTTGTCTTCCATGCTGGCCATGCGTTGGTTCTCCTCTTCTCGTGGTGGGTTATCTTGGGAACCTGAGTCTTGGCTCACGGCTTGGTCCTCGTGCCTGTCCAAAATGTCACCGGAATCCAGATTTAGATCAGGTGATGAACTAGCTGGGCCCCCACTTGTTGGTTCTCCACCAACAGATGGGGCCAGCTTGGCTTCATATTCCTGTTCAGTATTCTTGACTCGCCATGGAGCTACACCAGAATGTAGAGCATTTTGTCCTCGAGACCCTTATCACTGTCCTAGCAAGTCCAAAATGCCTTCAGTCGGAGTGAGGGTGCCCAATAAATACTGTACACAAAATTCTAGAGTCTCGGTATCAGGGCAACCAGCTGCTTAACTCATCATCTGCTTTATTTTTCACGTGATGTCACAAAGGTGGCTCTCAGCCAATCTGGAGAGGGGGCCCTGTCCAGATGTTGGGGGAGGGGCCAGGTAGCGTAGCTTTCAGCTTCTCCCTTTTCTAAAAGCGTAAACAGGCATGGTTTAAGTTCCCAGGAGTCTCCCGTCTTCTGACAGGCACCTTGTGTCATAGGGCCAGGCCCCAGATGAGCTGAGGAACCATGACTCTATGGCCATTCCCACCCCAGAAGACAGGGGAGGCCTTTTGGTAGCCTCTGATTTGCTCAAGAGCCAGCCCCTAGTTAGCCCTAGCTTGGGTTTCGCCAAGACTGCCTGAGTCAGACGGGCCCCTCACGGGTGACTGCCTTCCAGGAGATGGTGGTCCCTACCAGGCTGTTTGGCCTGGTCTGTGTTAGTAGCATCCCCATTTTACAATCCCCCCCATCTCCTTCCTGCTTGGTCTCTTCCAGGTACTCCTAATGATTGGTTGGATCTGCACCAGTGGGCCCAGATAAAGTGTTTCTTATTCCACTTGATGGAGTTGTCCCCAGAGGGGTGCTGTGCTTAAGTATGGTGGGAGCACTCCTCTCGCTCCTCTACCATGGTGTTACCCAAAGCACCATTTGTGGTTGGATGGCCACTTCCTCAGCTATGCTTTGGAGTCTCCTGTGGAGCTCTGCTTGCCCCTGCATCTCTCTCTCTTGCAGATCACAACAGGAGATTACCTTTAGTTTCTATTTTTGCTCATAAGTACTGTTTTCATTGCCCAAGACATGATCATTTCTGAGGCCTGCTGTACACAGACGATCCTAAGAAAAGTCTCTACTTGTTTAGTTAGACCCGATTAAAGTAATCCAGCACAAAAGTGCCATCATTGTGTATTTGAAAATAGATGAGAGTATGAGTGTGTGTTGGGGTGGGCAGGAGGAAGGAGAAAACCTAAATGAAAGTCATCTTCAACCTCAGATGAGAGGATACAACAGTCTTTTGGTTGATACACCTTCTCTAGCCATTAAAAACAACTTTCTTCTTAATATTCACTCTGTATAGGGAGACAGAGTGATACAGTGGGAAGGCCCCAGGCTGAAAGGACCCTGGGCCCTTGTCCCATTGAGTAGCACCCTTTGCCCACTCGGGGTCAGCCCTGGGTGCGAAGAGGGTTGGAGGAGGCTCTTCCCAAGGTGCCTTTTAGTCTCAGGGCTTTCTAATTTTTCATAGTGCCCCACATGCCTGGATGCAGGTTTGGATCATAGTCAAACACGCTCTTTAAACAGCCTTACAAAGGTTTTTGTTCCAGGACTCCATGTAACCTCTAGGTACACATACTCTAAGGCTAAACATTAAAATATTGGTGACATCTCTAAAGGAGGATCCTTGAGTATTCAGTTATACAGCTGGCATCTTTCACTGACATACCAAAGTGCTTTTTCATAGGAGAGTTCTTAACACTGCAAATGATGCTTAGTTGTGGCTTTTGTGACCTTATGAACCCTGCTGATTACTTTTATAAGGGCCTTTGGCCATTAGGTGGGAGGGGAACAATCATGAAGAAAATCACTAGGGAAACTACACGGTAGCATTCAGCCAAGAGCTGGTATTGATTTGATTTAGTCACACTATGTCATGTGGCTTCTGTAGGACCATTACCTACCATTCTCCTTGGTTTTAAGTCACAGAATGTCCACTGGGATTACAAGTCTAAGACATCAAGCTACTCTTATGCCCTGGAGGGAATATTTAGGGTACTGACTTAAATCTAGTCAAGAAAAGTCATGGGAAGGCTGGCCGCCTCTGGCTGAGCCGGCTCAGTCCCCAAAGTTCAGCTTTGCAACCTTCAGCAATCAGTCAGACAGTCTTTATGAGTCACCTGCCACCTGCAAGCCCCTTTGAGGAAAATGGTTGGTCTTCTCTTCCTTGCTGCAAAGGCCCCCGAGATGGCCCCTGCATTGCTGCTTTATGAATGAAATAATCATGGTCAGACGACCCAAGCAGAGCACAGCTGACTACGGTATGAGGACCAGTGGCCCTGTGGAAGGCAGTCTCAGTGCCGATTTGCTGCAGCTTCTTTGTAGCTGTGCAGTGATCGAGAACAGTGCTGAGCTCTTGACAGTGGGGCCCGAAGGCATGAGGCCAGCCGCAGGGCAAGACTCTCTATGTAGGCCTTGCCTGTCACATGATCCCCACAGGCCCTTCCTCATCCTACCCCTGGCCTTTCAGGAGCTTCTTCCTTGCTGATCTCTCCCAGGCTCTAGGATGTGTCTCTGCAGTTGGTTCATCCTACCCGAGAGGAGTCTTT